CTCCTCCAGAGAGGGGCTTGACTTTGAGAGAACAGGCTGAACCCTGCTCTGAAATACAGTCCCTGTCCTTTGTAAAAGAATATATATATATATATATATATATATATATATAGTCTTTTTAGAGAGAGAAGAAGGAAGAGGGAGAGAGAGAGAGAGAGAGAGAGAGAGAGAGAGAGAGAGAGAGAAACATCAATGTGAAAGCAAAAAATCCATCAGCTGCCTCCTGCATGTCTCCTTCCAGAGATCTAGCTCTCAATCTTTTGGTGCACAAAAAGATACCCAACCAACTGAGTTCCTGTTTTTAATCTTGAAGTTTATCCCCGACCTGTGACATGACCTCCACCATGAACTCTAGAACTGACCTTCAGATCAACCTCCAGCCCCACCTCCTCTCCTTTGCTTTTCTAGAGGCTGGAGATGCATGATTCCATATCACACATGCACTTCATGGTGGAGGTCTCGCAACCTCTAACTGCTTCTACTTGCCCTGCTGCTCTGGCCAGGGGCAGGAATAAGCCTCAGCACCTTCAGCAGTTCAGCCTAAACCTTTCCTACCTTCTCACCACCTGGACGTAGAGTTGGAGGCCCAGCTACCACCAGTGTAGGCCCTATTTCACCTCCTTTGTCCTGCTTCTGGCCTCTTGGGGTATAGGGAATGAGTGTGTATAAATGTGGATGTGCATATCCAAGGGGGTCATTCATTTATTCATTGTTCATTTATTAAGTGCCTATTCTGCACCATGCTCTAGTATAGATAGATATAAAACCTAGTGAGTAAGACAAAGTCCTGTCATTGTAGAGCTTAATTCCAGGTAGAGAGGAGTCAGAAATCATGTGAACCAGTAAGTCCATGATATAGTTCCAGATCTTCACCAATGCCACAGAGTGGGACAAAGAAGGGAAAGCAAAACAATGGGGTGGAGTGCCTTGGGGCAGGCATGATTTTTAATAGAAAGATCAGGGAAAGTCTTTCTGAGAGATGAATAAGTGGTATGTAGATGTCATACAAATCATAGCTGTGGTCCAGACCAGCATTACTGCTGAACATTCTGGAATACGCTGTATTTGCACGCTGACAGTAGCCATTGGCCCTTTGTAGCCACTGAGCACTTTAAGTGTGGCTACTGTCACTAAGGAACTGAATCTTTGGTTTTATTTAATTTTAATTAATTTACATTTAAGTAGCTACATGTGGCTAGTGGCTTCCATGTTGGACCTTTAATGATGAGAAGAAGCCACCTGGGGGAGATCTGGGGAGAGAGCATTTCAGAGTGAGGAATGAGCAAACACAAGAAGGGGAGGAACTGGAGTGTGGAGACGAGATGAAGAGAAGGCAGCATTGTGGGACTTTGAGGAAATGGGATTGCACATAGAGGACAGATCCTATAGAGCAGTGGTTCTCAAGCTTCCTAATGCTGCAACCCTTTAATACAGTTCCTCATGTTGTGGTGACCCCCAACCATAAAATTATTTTTGTTGCTACTTCATAACTAATTTTGTTACTGTTATGAATCGTAATGTAAATATCTGATATGCAGGATGTACTTAGGTGACCCCTGTGAAAGGGTCGTTCGACCCCCAAAGGGGTCGCGACCCACAGGTTGAGAACCGCTGCTGTAGACCATGAAAAGAGAGTACATTGAATAACATGCATAATGATAGATTACTGGAAGGATTTAGGCAAAGGAATGATGCAATGATGGTAATGATAATAAAGTTTAGGTAGATTTATTAAGTGGGATTTATGTACATACTAGAGGCGTGGTGCATGAATTCATGCACATTGAAAGGAAATTAATTAGAATAAATATTTTAATATAGCTATTCGCCCTTTCTCTATAATAGAAGTGTTAACCAAATTCACCATTGACAATGACAGATGGAAACACATGCGAGTGATTGGTGCTAGTGAGAGCTTTATTTATATAGATAAACTTGCTTAATTACATTTGCTTTCTGATTTAGCTAAACTTTTTCCAGTCCAGTGAAGCACCCCAACTTCTCTTTCAGGTAATTTTCAGCAACACAGCAGTAAATATCAACATGAAGCAGATTATTATTGTAGATCACGCAGGGAGAACAAAGGATGAAATATTTAACTGCAGCAGTGTTTGACTATATTCTGCGCAGTGAGAAAATGTGAAGTCATTTTCAAGGTCCACCATTTCTTACTTCTTTTCAGTCAGGTCAAGTTTCTAAGCTTTCTAAATCTCCATTTTCTGACTAATGAAAATAAAATAGGATTCCACCGAGTCTCCTATCTACATACTTCAGGACTTCTGTGAGGATCAAATGAGATGAGGCACGTGAAAACACTTCACAGGCATTTGGTTAAAGTGTAAAATGTTTCCACCTGGCTATAAAGCAAGTTGTGTTCCTGGATTGAAGAAACTCCAAGGAGGCTAATCACTAGGGAGAGTAAGCTGGGTGTTGCTACGTGACATCATTACCCAGCACCCACAGCGACCGTTTCCAGGCTGGGCTGGGCTGTGGGCCACATTTTGCACCATGGGGTCTTGGCAGCATCGGCTGTGATTTGGTGCGGTGTCGCTCTGGGATGGTAGCGGGGCTGTGTCCCACTTGGGGGAAGCCAAGTGTTGCTTTGTCAGCACCAGGTCTGTGGTGCCATTTCTTTGTAAATGGTCAGTGCACGTCACAGCAGCTCCTGCATTGAGTGTCTGCCCCCTGGTGTTCAGTGCACATCATAGCAACCGGTGAGATGGTCGGACACTTAGCATATTAGCCTTTTAATCCTCACTCCCCAATCTTCAATAATATCAATGAAATATATTTGTTATCATTGAAATCTCCCTTTTTAGATGGGAAACTGAGGCACAGAGGTTCATTACCATCGGGGCTGCCCTGCCTCCCTCTCGGCTGCAGCAAGCTGTGGGAAGCTCACTCTTGCTCAGTGCATAGTGCCATGGGGGCCAAGACTGGGGGAGGCTGAAGATGGCAGGGCTGTGGCCCAGCAATGCCAGGGGAAGGATAGGAAGGAGAGGTTACACTTAAGGTATATGTTAGAAATAGCAGCAGCAGACAGGGCTTCCTGGGATTGGATTGCTGAAGGTGAGTGAGGCCGAGTAGAATCAGTGACGGCTCCCAGTTTTGGGCCGAGCGGCATCGGGGACAGTTGTGCCCTTCCCTGTGGTCGGTCAGGAAGACTAGGAGTGGGCAGGACCCGGGCTGGCGGGAGGGGTGGGTGCTGCAGTGTGGGGTTGGGTATAATTCTGTGCCTCAATTTGGGCACAGTTTCCTCTTACCTTCCTTTATTCTTCTTTGCCGTCTTTCCTTTATGTCTTCCATCATTCAGCAAATATTTGTTGAGACCTACTTGATGCTAGGCCCTGTGTGAGGGGCTGGGGTACAGCAGGTTACGAAGGTGCCAATCCCTTCCCTCCTTGGAGTTGACGTTCTTTAGGAGGACAGACAGACTACGCATGAGAAAATGAGCACAGAAGCAGGCGAACTGCAGGTAATGATGCGCCTTCTGAAGTGAACGAGAGGAGGACGGAGAGGGATTTCAGATGCTGCCTGGGCGAGGGGATCGTGCTCTGAGTGGGTGATGTTTGAGTCAAGAACTGAATAATGAGAAAGCCAACTATGAAAAGAGCAGAGAGGAGAGGGAGAGAGAGAGAGAGAAAGAGAGAGAGAGAGGACTCTGCAGGGGATCAGTGGGCATGAATATCCGACACCCCAAGAACCTTCCATTTTCGCATCGCAGTGTGTGTCCGTGTCTGTGTCTGTCTCTCTGGTGTGCGCGGAGCCTCTTCCATCATCAGTCATTTCTTCCTCTGTTGCAGGAGCAGATTGATTGGTTTGAAAATCTGTTTAGTATTTCATGAGCCCAAGCTGTGAGAGTCAGGGCTAAATACAGACACGGTAGGACCCAGTAATTAATTGATGAGTGTGGTTACAGCATGGAAGCTGGAGACCGAGGTTTGGGGAGGCAGCTTTTCAAAGGAACTGTCTCAGGGACAGCATGGAGGGCTCTGGCCTGGGTGTTTGTAGAAGCTGCTGTCCTGACATTCTCACCGAACACAGGGAAGGGGCAGCTGGGCCGCATTCCCTCAGCACAGACTGCCGGTTTCCCCAACACAGCGTCACTGCAGCCACACCTGGGAGCCGGGAGAGGGGGCGGGGGCGCAGTGCGACCCCACCTGTGCTCACAGCTGGCACTGCTCACACCTGTGTTCATCAGATGGCTGCTTCCATCTGGACTGACTTATTTCACAAGTTTCCATGGCGGAGCATGAATTGACCCAAGCAACCCTTTCACCAGTGAAATGGCATGTGCTTTCTGTGCGATGGCTGGGCTCCTCAGATCACCAGGGAGAAGCTTTACAAATTACTTAAAAAAGCAAAGTTTGTTTGAAGGATGCACTGGGGTCAAAGTTCAACAAGCTTAGGAGCACAAGTCCTGAGATAGTGCGCTCTGTGAGAGCGCGGTGGGCAGACAGGCTGCATGTCCAATAGCAGCCTTCATCAGCACGCACGCCGAGCAGTTCATTCCTCCCGGCACCGCGCTCTCAGTCCGTCCGGGCTGCTGTCACAGAAACACCACTGACTGATGGCTTAAACAACAAATACTTCTTTCTCACATTTCTGGAGGCTGCAAGTCCAAGACCAGCTGCTCACCGACTCAGTGTCTGCTGAGGACTCCCTGGTTCATAGAGGGTGTCTTTTCTTCTTCTCCCCATGTCCTCACATGGCAGCCGAGGGAGGGAGCTTTCTGGGGTCTCTTTTATGAGGTCACTAATCCCATTCATGAGACTCCACCCTGGTGACCTCATCCCCTCCCTCAGGCCCCACCTCCCAGTACTGGGATTGGGACCTACCAGGAATGTTGGAGGGACACAAGCATTCAGTGCGTAGCAGAACCATAAGCAGCAGCCTTTCAACCTTCATGAACCATCTCGAGATGGGTCTGGCTTGGGAGTCCCTGCTGTTTACAAGGAGGGAAATGAGCTTCAGGTTTCCCAAAGTCCTTGACATTGACAATGGCAGAGCCAGGTCCCAGGGGCAGACAGCACGTGCGTCGTCTGCAGCAGCTGGAGGACATTCGCCCAAGTGGGCAGAACCCCAGGCCCAGGAGGCATGACCACGGACGGCCAACAAGCGACGCTCTGGACAAGCAATGGTGAGGGGCCTCCACGAAGAGCACGCGCTGGAGTCTTGAGAACTCGAGAAGCAGGTGGCACAGAGCAAAGGGGGTTCAAGCAAAGGCAAGACCCGAGTGAAAAGCTGACCTATCAGCAGCTGCCTTCATCACTCTGAGGTCAGGGCTGAAGTGGTCCCACAGTTAGAGTCAGGAGGCCTAGACACCCCTGGGGGGACAGAGGCTGACTCAGCAGAGAAGCAGGGCGGGGCCAGCAGCCGGATGCAGGTGAGAGGGAGGCGGATGCAGGTGAGAGGAAAGCAAGGCGGCTGGCAGCATCCCCAAGACAGAGAGGAGCTGCCGCACTGCACAGCGGGGAGTGAGAGGTGAGGTGGGGAGCCCTGGAGTGCAGCCTCCCGAGGGGAGCCCTCCTGTCCTGGCTGTTAGGCTGTGAGCATGAGTTGCCATGCGGGCATGCTGACACCTCTGTAATCATCATTAAATTGTGGCACCTGACCTTGAAATGCTGAGCCCAAGGAAAGAAAATACAATGAAACCACTAATGGAAGTTGGTGTGAGGGTCTGCAGGGGTCAGTCTTTGGGTGAGTATGAATGTGTTTCAGAGAAATGCGCTCTGGGTGGAATCGCCTCCGGTCACGGCCGGGGAAGGGTGTTCTGAAATTGCCTTCATCCTAAGTCAGTAAGTGTCTTGTCTTAGAACCTCTGGGGTGCAATGGCCCAATCAAAAAAGAGGATGTGTGGAGGGGCCGTCGGGGTGAGGGCATGGATGGGAGCTGATGTTGAGGGTAAGCAATGGCTCAGATTTTCGAACCCTGCTTCCCAGCCTCTGGGCTTGAGCATTATTGCAAGGGACGGCCACGTCCCTGTAGATGCCAAACATTGTACAAACTGAATCAATAAAAACTCATATAAACACACACACGGCGACCTTTCAGAAACATGGCTTCAGTGCCGATGACTCAATCACAAGTTCATTGTAAAGGATCGTGGAATTCATGGCCGCTTTCTACCCACAGGTGCTTCCTTAATCAAAACATGCAGGTGGTGAATGCACTGGGAGAAGTCAGTCGACGGGGAAATAGAAGCAAGGCCTGGGACTTGAGCAGTTGGAGTCATGAGCCCCATAGAGTGGCCAAGATCTGCCCAGCAATAAGATGGCCCAAATGTTCGGGCACCTTGGGGTGGCAAGGAGAAGGGGATTTCTAGTAATCCATGCAATGTATGCCCAGCTCAAGCTGTGTGGTGCTCTGAGAGCTGGGCACCCATCATTTAACAGAGGGACACATGCATTAGGCCACCAGGAAGAGTCATTTAGATTCAGAATGTGAACAGAGCTGTCTCCTTCACGCACTCAACATGCAGATGTGCTTGCACCCACGGTGGCCACCAGCAGTACTGAGACGGGACATTTACCAGTACCTGCTCTGTGCGAGGAAGCCTGGTATCTTTCCTTGGGAATGAGTAAATGTTATCCTCATTCGATGGGTGAGGGAAATGAGTTGCTCAAAGCAAGTATGGCTCAGAGATGGGACCCTGAGGTCTCATGCCCTTGCTCCAACCCCCATTCTCTTGGGTTACAGTTCATCAGGAGAGCTCAGAATATATTGCTAATTTATGCACCATTTGTTCTACTGGATAACGCATTAGGGAAAATGTGAGGTGTCCGAGTACCTCTAATGTGAGCAATGCAGAGGCAGCTGACCCTTCACAGAGAATGGGCACTTACAGCTAACACGGGTGATTGCTCTCTCCCCGGGCATTCATGACGGTCCATTTGCTTCCACTGAGGGGGCCCTGGAGAGACATCTCACAAATTGAATGATGCTGCTTGATCTGGAGGAATTTCTGGGGATTCCAGCATGGGTTTCTGTAACCCCCAGGGGTAAGTCAGTGACAGCCTGCATTGACAACACACAGAATGAGCCTCATTTTAAGGTGCAGCTTTGCCACCTGCCACAGAGTGACCTTGGGCCAGTCGTGTGACCTTGCTGAGCCTCGTGGTTTAGTTAAGCATTGCCAAGCAATGACTAAGAGCTAGGACTATGGCGCAACACAGGCCTGGGACTATATTTCAACTCTACTTCTTGTGCCTTTGGGAAAACTAATCCATTTCAGTTTCCTGATGTCCAAAGCTGGGGTGTAGTAGTACCTTCTTAAGACAGTTGTTTGAAAGTTACAGTAGTACATCGAGAACCTACAGAACGTGAGGCACCCTTTTCACTGCTAATTCACTGAGAGCTTCATCCAGTCCCGTGTGATGGGATTATGAGATAATGCCTGCTTTCCAGGTGATGGAACAAACACACATGGGGTTCAGTAATTTGCCCAAGGTCCCACAGCTAATAAGTGGGTCCAATTCAGTAAGTCCAGAGGCGATATTCTTGACCACGAGGCTGTAGAGTCCAAGATGCTTAGAGACCTGGGTCTGCTGCCAGGATTTGAAATCTCAACCACAGAAGACAGCATAGAGTGCTCAGTGCACGGTGTGTGACAGCTAGTGCATGGCTATCATTAGCATCGTTCCCTGTGAGGCCCCAGACGCGGACCTGCACTCAGACGGGGCTGGGACTCAGCAGAGCGACACCGGCAGCAGAGCACAGGGGGTGGGACGAGCGACGTGGAGAGTGTCTCATAAACATTTGGGGCAGTGAGAGCAGCTGCATGGTCGCGGGGAGAGATTTTCGCTTCAGGACTGTGTGTTGACGCTGGTGTCACGGCTGCGCTGAGCACCCCAGATACTGTGAACGAGCTGTTCCAAGCCCAGACGCAGTGTTTTCTCACCATATGCTCCACACGGAGTGCGTGGTCTTTCAGACAGGGATGGCGTGCAACTCAGAAGCCTGAGCGCCCAGGCACGGAAAACCAGCTCAGAGGAGCCATGCCTCCCCAGCTGCCCCAGGTCTCCTGACTCCCAGGGGTCGTTTCATGTGTGTGTCATCCGTGTAGTCATCCAACAGCCATAGGTAGTGATGGGGCAGCTACTCCACAGGAGGTACTGTGTCAGGCACTGGGGATACAAAGGTGAATGAAGCATTGCCTGCACTCTAGGGGCTGGGACCTGCCATGCCAGGCCTCTGGACAGGGCGTTGTTCTAAGCTCTGTAAAAGAGAGATAACAAGGACTTTGGAAACAGAAAGGAGTTAGTGAAAATCTTTGTAATGGAATTAAAAAAAAAACTTTTGCACACCCAGCACCTAAACATTTTTCTATTCAAGAGAACTCCCCAAATAGGTGAAGTTAGGTCCCTCTTCTGCTGGCAGGTGGACTGCACACCTGACACAAGTGTCCACCTCCCACATGGATGTCAGGCTCTTGGATCAAGGTGATCACTCAACACCTGCACCTGGGTGTGCAGCAGATCCCTCAGATGACTAAGCGAGACCGGCCTCTTTCCCCATGTTCTCCAATCCGTTGGCTCGGGCCAACCATCTTGGAGTCGCTATGATGCCTCTCTGTCTTGCACACATATCACAGCCATCATAAAGGCCTGTCGTCCCTACTTTTAAAATGCATCCGACTCTAAACACATCTCACCACTCAGCACTCTGCACCGGAGTTGGCGCCGCCACCATCTCCAACCCACTGTCCTGAAATGCCCTCCTAGCAGGTCGCCTTCCTCTGTTCTTGCCACACTCTTGTCTGTTCTCAGCAAAGCAGTTACAGAGCATCTCTTCAAATGGAAATCATGTCACCGTCTCCTGCTCAGTGTTCTTCAGTGGCTTCTCACCACACAGAGTGAGCGCCAGCATCTCCCGGGGCCGGGGAGGCCCTCCACGGTCAGTGTCCTGCCCACGCCAGGAACGTGTTTTCTCACTTCCTTACCTTTCCTCACTCGCTCCTGCTGTGACTGGTCTTTCTGTTTCTCAGGCACTCCAGGATGTGAGAACACCGGCATGTCAAAACATCAGATCTAGTCAAGAAGGACTTCCTTAAAACCAGGAGAGAAAAGGAGAATTGGGGGTGAGAAGTCCTGAGCAGGTAGCTGGAGATAAGATCCAAAGGTGATTTGGGAAGAAGTTGGTCTGTCAGAGTAGGGTAGCGGCTCCTCTAGTTTTCCAGGAAGAGGGAGACTAGGAGAGGTACAGAAATAGTTGCCAGATCGAGGGCCTGGGTGAGAATTCATTCAGTGGGTATTTATGGAGCACCTGCTGTTTGCCAGGAGCTGGTGTTAGCACTGGTACTGAATGACTTCTGCTTGGCCAGTGAGCTGAGAAACCAACATGCACACTCGGGGAGACCTTGAAAACCATCTTTAGGGTCTGAGTCTGTTTCCTTCCCTGTCGAACTGGGATAGTAACGCTATCTGCTCTGTTGACTAAAATAGTTATTCATGTGATACTATAAAGACCTCTCGGTTTATCAGATGTGGAAGTTAGACTGGTAGCTCTGTGGAGGAATGGGCTCTGTTTTGTTGACTGGTATATTGCCGATTATGGAAGTGAGCATTTATGGAATGAATGAATGAATGAATGAATGATTGTAACTGAGTCAAAATCACTTTTGGAATGGAGAACTGCTACTTCACTCTGGATATCTTCTTACTGGGGAAAAATCCCCTTCAGCTCATGCCACAATAGTTATATCTTGGCCCAATGAGATGACCTTGTCATGTTTGCCCCAAATGCATAACTCTCCTAAATCACATGCTTTAATTCATCTGTAACATGATGATCAAAGCCATTTAGGCTCCTCGGCTCCCCTCTACCTTCTACAGCACCTCCTCTCATTCCCTCTGTGCGGAGCGCTAAGCGAGGCGCATCTGTCCTCTCCTCCACACACTGGCTTATGGGCTGGGTACCATTTCATCCCAGATGCTGCAGATCAAAGACTTGAGATCCACAAAGATCTTGACAGACCACAGACAGCACTCAGCCAAAGTGAAGGACATGAATTGGAAGGGGGCGTAATGTGAAGACAAACACTAAGGTCTAGAAGGGATCGCGGAGGACAGATGAGAAGAGAAACCTAGCAGCTGCACTTGCACGAAAGAAAAGTGTGACAGAGTCAAAAGGCAAAAACACATCTGGACTAAACTCTGCGAAGGGCCGTGTAAGAATCTACCTTCAGGTGTTTACTGACTCAACATGTATTTGATATTTTCATAATAGGACATGAGTTTCATGCTAAGAGAGTATATCTCTCCAACTGAAATAGAAATGGAAAGTCGGGCCATTCCCTAATGCTGGCTGAGCTCGTAGTAGAAGCTCCTCGCTGGCCACAGCCCTCTGGTCAGGCAGTGGGTCTGGTGGCATTGGCTTGAGTCAGAATATCCTTTTTGCCTAGATGGGTTCGTTAGTTCTCATGCTGTTCAACTTTTTCATTGGGTCAAATGTAATTTTTTTCCTTGTTCTTCTCTAAGAATTGCTGTGCCAATGACCTTGTGCACCTGGCTTAGGTTTTTAAAATTCTGGCATTACTGGGAACTATTCTAAGCGATTTGCCTGAGTTATCACATTAATCTTCATTACAATTCTATGAGGGAGGGACTCCTATTAACCCTAATTTTTAGATGAGAAAATTGAGGCTCAAAGTGGGTTACGCAACTTCATCGCGATGACGTGGGTAGTCAGAACTCTTAAATCATGCACATACAACTCCCAAAGGCTGTGCTCCTTAGCCCTGTCCCTTCAAATGAGACAATTAAGTCTAGTGCAAGCCAGACAGACACATTAACATGAAGACATTCAAAACACTTTGAAGAATACGTTGTTCCAAGATAAGCATGATTATGGCCAAGGCTATTGCTTTGATCAGAAAACTCCGTGCTGCCCAACCATTATGCCTAACTACACCAGCTCTGTGAATTTCTCTACCAGGCCATTCCTCTTGCTCAATAACGGTGCTTGCTGATGAAGCTCAAAACCCAGCAGCAATTAATTATTGACAGAGCATGTGAATTAGAGATAAAAGAAAAGTCATTCTTTCTCTACACCCGCGATAGTAAATAAATTTAATTATGGTAGGGGAAGCTAAGGGATCTTCATCTGTATTAAGGTTTATTAGCTGAGACATTTAAAAGCATGTCATTATAACAAAGAGGTCTTGTGTAATCCTGAATGTACCACTTGGGTGCAAGACTTGGGAGTGAATAGACTTAATGGAGTACATGGTGGCAGATGGCCTGCTGTACTGACAGGTATTGAACAGGTTTATTGTCAGTTAACTTTGGTCTACAGATGCCTATAGCAAATTGGGGTATCATAGGGTCCTGCACCTCCCCTTTTCACTGGTTAGCTTGCTACATTGGGGCTGGGGGACAAATAGCATCCAAGTCCTTTAGTATCTTAAAGCTGTCAATGAGACGAGGCCATCCTGAAGGTGAACATGGATGGAGCGGTGACTTTAGGATAGAAGCAACCTTGGGAAGGACAGCAAGAGCATGGCCCTGGTGTGGGGTCAGTCAGTGGCCCACTGGCAACCCTGGAACCAAGAAAGAAGGAATCCCATTCATAGAACCAAACTATGCTGGATGCTTTCACGCTATATGCCCTTTCATTCTCAGGTGAACTCGCGGTAAGTTTTAGGAAAAGATTCGGGGATGTGATTCAACTTGTTGAGGTCACAAAGTCTGTCCATTCTCCTTCTCTGAGCTCCAGTTTCCTTCTTTGCACAGTGAGGGCTTTGACGAGGTCAGGAGACAGCAGACTTTTTAAAGGGCCCCAGAGTAAATATGTTTGGGTTTGTGTGTCACGTGGTCTCATTGCAACTGCTCAAGCTGTGTGCCACATCAGCCAGGGACAGCACGTAAAGGAAAGAGTGTGGCTGTGTTCCAACGCAAGTTTATTTATGAGCATTGAAATGTGAATTTCATGTAATATTCATGCATCACAAAATGTTATTATTATTATTATTCTGGTTTTTCCCCGACCATTTAAAGATTTAAAAATCATTCTTAGCTGCAGGCATTACAAAAACAGAAGGCTGGCAGTAGTTTGCCAACCCCTGGACTAGATAATCTTTGAGGTTTTGTTGAGCGCAAACATTTTCTGAAAGCCGCTACAACAATAATAATAACTTTGATGTATTAAGCTCCTACATGTGCCAGAGTCTATGCTAAATGCTCTACAGACATTATCTCCCTTAATCCTCATACTGCAGTGGGAAGTAGGTGCCATTATTATCTCCATTTCTGAGATTATAAAACTAATACATAGAGAAATTAAGAGTATATTTAGCTTAAATATAACTGGTAAGAAATAGAGCAGCAGTTTAAGCCCAGGTGTATAAGGCTCCCAGCCATGAACCCATGAGCCTTATGCTGCCTTTTCTGAGGTTTCTACAATCAGAGCCCTAGAGGGGAGTATAGTTTAAAAGAACCGCAAGTGTTTATCCACGAATTTTATGTGGTAGTTCCCCATGAGCTGTTTACATCACACGTTTCGTGCAAAATTAAAATATTTCTGGATAGGCATGACCACTCTTTCTCCTTCTCTCCCTCTTCCAGGAATGTGATGCCTAAGACCGTGGACGGGCAGATAACCATGGAGAAGACGCCGAGTTACTTTGTGACAAATGAGGCCCCCAAGCGCATCCACTCCATGGCCAAGGACATCAAACTGATCGTGGTGGTGAGAAACCCTGTGACCAGGGCCATCTCTGACTACACCCAGACCTTGTCCAAGAAGCCCGAGATCCCCACCTTCGAGGTGTTGGCCTTCAAAAACCGGACCCTGGGGCTGATCGATGCCTCCTGGAGTGCCATTCGCATAGGGCTGTACGCGCTGCACCTGGAGAACTGGCTGCAGTTCTTCCCCCTCTCCCAGATCCTCTTCGTCAGCGGGGAGCGGCTCATCGTGGACCCCGCCGGGGAAATGGCCAAAGTACAGGATTTTCTAGGCCTCACGCGTGTTGTGACTGAGAAGCATTTCTATTTCAATAAGACCAAGGGGTTCCCTTGCCTCAAGAAGCCAGAAGACAGCGGCGCCCCCAGGTGCTTAGGCAAGAGCAAAGGTCGGACTCATCCTCGTATTGACCCGGATGTGATCCACAGACTGCGGAAATTCTACAAGCCCTTCAACGTGATGTTTTACCAAATGACTGGTCAAGATTTCCAGTGGGAGCAGGAAGAGGTTGACAAATAAGGCTAGAGATGTGAGGGAAGGCTAGGGAGCAGCTGAGGAGACCCCTTACCTGAGTCCCGAATCCCCAGGGTCGCAGCCTCAGCCTTGCTGGAGTGTCACCTAGGTCTCCCCCATCTTCCAGCTGGGATAGCTTCCCTACAAAGCAGCCAGGCCTGCCTGGGCAGCAGCATCTGGTTGACCAGATGGCCACCAGGATCTACTGCTAATTCTTGTCTCCTACGGGTGAATAGAGTCTGAAGACAGGATTGAACAGAGGTCTAGATCAGAGACAGTGCCATGAATATTTGTTTAAGTGAAACAAAGAAAGGCAGGTCTATTTTGGGGGCTCTCACTTTGCTTTGGGAAGCCTGACTTCTAGCCCTGTGTCTGGCCCAGGCCTTGCTGTATGAACCCTGCTCTGGCATCTCTCTGAAATGCTAATTGTGGCTGAGTGCTCCAGGACTCCTAGGGGAGGGGCCTCGGCCAAGGTGTCTCTGGCCTTCCTGAAAGATCTCATTCCACAACCCTGTGACTTCCTCCCTCCACACCTTACAAAGGGAGGGGCATGCACATTCCTCACCCCAAAACGCTGACTCCCCTGGAAACCTTCCTTCTAAGAGCCCTCCAAGGGGGGCTGGGTCTCTCTCTTCATGAGCACCCAGGGCGCTGGAGCTTAGCTCCTGTCCTCGTGTTAGATTCAGCCCCTGGACTGCTCTTCTAGCAGCGAAGCTCAGAGCCCTGAGCTTGGTAGAGGTGAATGCCATCTCTGGGAGCGAAAAAAGACAGCCAGTCCTCTGAGGGGGAGGTATCCACACCTACAGACCCTCTCCCCAAGCACCCTGGTTCTGAAACATGCTTTTGGGGTGGGCTCTGTCCCTCAGGGTCCCCAGAAGGGCAAGGACCAGAAAGTTGGCATGTCTTATGTTCTGAATAACCCTTAGCCACACAGTGAACAGGGTACCAGTCACCATCATCTATTTGCCCCACCATCTGCCCTCATGGTCATCTCCTGCTTCATTTGCTCTGTTCACAGACAGCACATTTTGGGGAGTGACAAGAGGGCTGACTCCACTTGCCACATCGGTTTATGGGGTGGGGGGAGCAAGGGCTGTCTGGGACACCCCCCTTCGAGGGCTACTGATTAAAGTATCCCTTCCCATTAGTCGTGTTTGATTAAAATGCAGCATTCGACATAAAGCCCTGTTCACAGGTCTCCCAGTCCAGGAACTGTTCTAGTAAAATTGGAAATGTGTGCGTGGGGGAGCTAACTCTGTTCAGCTGTTACTAAACTGTCATTTCTCCGGCTAAATGAAAACTGTGTTGTTATAAAGCTTAATGCAACCTAATCAATGGGTTTTGATGGCGTGTTTCTGTGGGTCACCTCCAACCCCACCCCTACTCTCGGATTCTGGGGGTTTCCCTTCTCTGGAATGACCAGAAGGACCCGGATTAGATCTCCCGGGGGTTCTGTCCTGTAAGAAGCACCATTTTCTCATTCTCAACTGGTCCTGGCGAGGAATGGACTAGTGTGCCCGATTGAGGAACAACCTTACAAATCACTGTTTTTCCAGATAAGAGAGTGGTTATTGAGCTGAAGGCACCATATTATGCCTTTACTACCAAAATAAAAGAATACCTAGCCCTGGACAGTTGGCTCAGTTGGTTGGAGCATTGTCCATACACCAAAATATTGCAAGTTCATTGCAGGTTCGATTCCCAATCAGGGTACATACCCAGTTTGTGGGTTTAATCCCCAGTCAGGGTGTGTACAGGAGGCAACCAAACGATGTTTCTCTCTCACATCTCTCTCTCTCTCTCTCTCTCTCTCTCTCTCTCTCTCTCTCTCTTCCCCCCCCTTTCCACTCTCTCTAAAAAAACAATAATAAAAACATATCCCTGGGTGAGCATTAAAAAATAGATAGACAGATAGATAGAAACACACCTATTTCAAGAAAGAAAATGCATAAATGCGTGCTTGCTCAGAAGAGTGTATGGTCAGCTGCTGATTTGGGGCCCTGTTTTATAGGAAGAGCAAGGACCGATTCCAGTTACACATCAGAGCCAGCTGTGGGGTTTTTCGAGCTACAGCTTCCTGAGTCCCATTTCACATTTCTTGAGTCAGAATCTCCAGGTGGGGCCCTAGCATCTGTCCTTTCAAAGATATTCTTACAGTCCTGGCCAGTGTGGCTCAGTTCACTGGCACATCCTCCCATACAGGAAAGGGTCAAGGGCTTGGTTCCTGGTCAGGGCACAAACCTAGGTTGCAGGTTTGAGCTCCTGGTTGGGGCATGTACAAGAGGCAACCAATCAATGTTTCTCTTGCACATCAATGTTTCTCTCGCCCCCTTCCTCTCTCTCTAAAAACATATAAATAAACATGTCCTTGGGTGATGATTAAAAATAATAACTTTATATATATATGAAGCTGGGATTGAGAACAAAGGAGGGAAGTCTTACGTGTGTATGTCTTTGCCCTCCCGTCCTCCTTCCCACCCTCCCTGTATGCTTTTGTGAGGGTACTTCTTCCCACCCTCCCTGTACGCTTTTGTGAGGGTACTTCCAAGAGTAGTGGTCCCCAAGGGCTTGCTTTGGGGAATATGGTCCCTTCTGGGGGGAAGTCTAATGAGGACCAGGTAAGGAATGAATGTATGCCCTAGAAGGTCAAAGGAGCACCTGCTTGTAGGGAAGCTTTCCTGTGACTTTCTACCAGCTGAGAATGACCATTTCTCTAACCTCCCCCAGCTCTTCTGTCCTGAGGGGACACATGTTGACTCAGCCCCTCGATCACACCCCCTCTTCACTTCCAGTCAACCTGGTTGTCTGCGTGGCCCCCTGAACTCAGAGCGTCCAGACCTTCTGTGCTGCTTAAAAAGGAACCCAGTCCCGTGTCCTCACATACATGACCAGCTAATCCATTGTTAGCCTGGCTAGCTGATGGTTACAGTCATTCTCACCTGGGAGATAACAGTGGGGAACCTCTTAGAACCTTTACACCCTCTGGCATTTAAGAGGAGGCTAATATTCTCTGGAGAAACAGGGCAGAGGCCTAAGCCTCACAGCTTAAGTGTTTTTATTTGAAGGGTCATTGATGACATGGTTGGAAGCTGTGGTTCTGGAAAGAAGTGTGAACTTGAGATGCTTCAGTTCCATTTCTGCAGTGTCTGCCCAGCTCCATCCCCAGACGCTGGGAGTGAGCCACACAGCCGCGTTCCGCAGTGGGGAAACTTGACAAAGGAATTACTTCCTATCCAGAAAAGCTAAGTCAACCTGCTCAAATGGAGGCAGGTTAATAACACTTCCACCCTATTTAAACGTGAGCAATGCGACTCGAGGGAGATTGAATTTTGTATTTGATTTCAATTAGCAAAGCATAAATTATATTTAATTTTCTATTGCCCTCCCTTCCCTGGAATGATGACTCAGAGCTCGGGAAAGCCTGCTGCTGAGACAAGAAAAGGAGAGCCATGCTTCTGGTGGTGCCGCCGCCTTTGCCCCACACTCCTCTCCTTCGCCCTGTCATTCTGTACCTGAAAGGTATGGCAGCCTTGGCCTTGGCATTAGCCCTACCAGCTCTAAACACAGAACAATGACAGCAAAACCATTCAGCAGCCCCTTTTACCTTTGGGCTTGAGAGCTAGGCGTGGCCATTCCCTAGAACTCCGAACAACCTTTGGGAGCCTCGCAGATTGAATTTCAGGTTGAGGAGCGTGGCCTGCCCCATTCCATGGTACTAGGGCTCCTGGTCTGAGCCGCACTTCTTTAAGACCTCAGCTCCTCGGCTCTTCCAGGTGCGTGTCTTTTCTGCCCCTCTCGTTGCCCACCCGCAACCTCCTTATTCCCCAAAGAAGGTGTCTGCCTCACAGCAGTCAGAAGAACGGTAGCTGGTTTGAGCCTGGCCTTATCTATGTCATGGACAAGCAGAATTGCCCATCTGAACCTTAGTTTCCATATCTCTAACATGGACTTATTTAGTCCCTACTGGCCAATCACCAGAGTTCCTGAGATGACCAAAATGATGGGAAGGTATTTTTAAACCTGAAGTGCTTCATTGAGATAGTGGAGAGTAATGCTGACGATGGTCATGAAGAAGACGAAGGAGGAGGAGAAGGGAGGTGTATCCTCATACTTCTTCCAGAACAACATGCCTCTGTAGCATTTCAAGGGTATATCTTTACTCAGACTGGACAATATGATGATGTTAAGAGAAAATGATTTTGCCCAAATGATTTTACCCAAAGCTAAGGTCAGAAAACAGCCCTCTATGAACAGCACAGAGCTGGCTGGATTTCAGGCATTCAAATACAATACCTTTTCCCCCACCGGGTCCGGACCTCCTACTCCACCTCCCCGCAACACACATGTTCTCATCACGGCAGCCTTTCCCTGCCCCACACTCAAGGTTCTTTTGGATACAACCAGACACCATGGCCTGTTCACACAGGGCGAGACAGATCTTCTTGAGATGGAAATGGGGTGACGTTTTCAAGCTTTTGGGCTTCAAATGCTAAGCCTGGGGCCATGACTTCTCAACTTTTCCATGACGACACAGAGGGCTGAGAGCCAGGGCAGGTGCTGGGAGCGGGGCTCACATGTTTCTGGAAATAAAGTGGGGCAGGCAATTCCTCACAGTCTTTAGCACATTGGGGTGGGAGAGAGGAGTTCTTACAAGTTCTGGCTTCTCATGGGTGTGAGGATGTGTCATTTCCAGGTGTAGGAGATACATGAAACCACTCTGACATTGTGAGACTATATGGCAAGGTAATGAGTTCATCATGTCATTGAGGAGAAAACGCAGGCCAAGAACAGGTGTGGGGTGTGTGTCCATGGATGAAGGTGGCAGGAGTGTCCCTGGACACAGGCCAATCCCATTACTCTAGGGTCAATCACGTTTCACTGAGACGTTCATTCCACAAATATGTGTAGAGGGACCAAGTGGCAATTGGAAGAGGTATGGGAGTGGGCAAAGCTGGTTTTCTGGACGGGGCTCCCAGCCCAATGGGGAAGATGGATATGAGAGAAGTGCATGCAGTAAAGGCTGACACTGTTGTGAGAGAGATGCACAGGGTGCTATGGAAGCATGAACCTGGCAGGTGAGGGCGGGGGTCAGGGTAAAAGGACACCAAGAACTTGCGTCATTAAGACCACAGTCATCAGAATTTGCCTCATCCCAACTCATAAGACTGCCCTTATGCT